CTATTAAGACCGATATACGGATTAAAACAATCCGGAAGGAACTGGAATAGGGAACTAGATCGTTTCCTAGTCGAACAAGAATTCAAAAGACTGAAATCTTCGGGATGCGTATATGTAAAAGAGCATTGGATAGTCGTAGTCATATATGTAGATGATATCTTTGTTTTTTCCAGAGAGCAAATGCCAATCGTGAAACTAATAGACTCTATCAATAGAGAATATGAAGCCAAAGACTTAGGTATTGTAAATCATTGCTTTGAATGAAAACATTCCCTTGAGCAACTGATTCCCATCTTTGAATTATATTCAAAGCAAAAAACCTGAATGATGGGTGTTTGGCAAATCGATTATCTTTGTAACGTAGAAGTTTTAAGAAAAACGATTTGGGAGTTAGTCTTTGTCGTGTTGGGTCTTTCATGCATGGCTTTTCATCTGGAAAAAGCGTTGGGAAGGCTGCAGGAATGAAGTTAGGCGTATTAAATTCATCGATTGGAGTCGAAGACATTGCAGGGTACTGAATGTGAACGTTAGCCATAATCTCAGCCTCAGAGCTAAAATTAATTGGTTCAGGAACAAAAGTATCAGAACTAAATTCTTCGCTTTGTTGATCATTTGTCTCGATTTCATTACTTTGACTGCTGAGTTCTACTGATTCAGATAAATGTTGAATGCGTTGATGAACATTCTCTTCCACGGACAAATCATGGAAGTTATCCTCGCTCAAAGTAACGTCTCTGTAAAGGGGATTGTTGTTTTTTAACCAGAAAAGAGCATCTCGAACACGATCGACCCTAATTTTGAAGTCCCGCACACGCCGGATGCCATCTTTCTCAGTTATTTTGCTTACGAAAACTAATGGGATGTTTTGTATTTGATGCGGCAGAGTAGTTGCAAAAGAGGAAACATCTTGAGGAAAAGAAATGATGTTCCCAGAAGTCCGTAATTGCCCTGATCCTTTAACCCGATAAACTTTGACTTGAGGATGTATAAGGCTGATAACAAGTTCTTCGACCAAAGAAAGTCCTTTCAATTCATCTGGTACTTCTCCAGGATCCATGTTTTCGGCCCTGAATCTCGAATTAGTTCCACGAGAGCATGATTGACAAACAAAGTTTATCTCAAAATTATCATTGGCACTCAAGTGGAACATGGAGCAGTTTTCGCAAACTCGAAATCCAGTTTTCAATAGCTTTGCTGCGTAGTTTGTTTCATGAGGAAGCAAGGAATCTGGTGCATCGTAACGTCTGCTAATAATAGACAGACTTCTTGAACGAAATTCGCGTTCTCGCCTCAGTTCCCTGTGTCTTGTGTTTCTTTCTGAGCTCCTGTAACGCGATGGTCAACCACTACGTGGATTGCGGCGAGGACGTCCTGGAGGCATAATTTATTTTTTCTTTAAATTAAACTGTTTACCTGTCGTTAAAACTTCGAATTTAAAAAGGTTAAGATCGTCAGGAGCGAGTTTAAGTTCAGTGCAGATACCAGAGTACCGCATGAAAGCTTTTGAAACTAATTGATTGAATTCGGATGTTAGTTTTGTTTTTTCCGCAGCATCCGAACACTTTTCTCTTTCTTTATAAACTGAATGAGCGTTTGCAGAATACTTGTTAAGAGATTTTTGGGCTTCCTTTACGTTGAATTTGCCCTGGTTCCTTTTTTGTTTTCTGATCCGTGTTTTCTGAGACTTTGTCAGCGGCAAAGGTCCAAAAATCGGCACAGGTTCAACTTTTGTAGGCGAGGAAAAAAGAGGCTTTCGAAAAGATTTGTCTTTTCCAGACAAAGACGAGAACGGTACCGGGAACCTCCTTTTAAATCCACAAGCTCCTTTGATCGGAGAGATGGGGTCGGGGATGGCGATCAGATTGACCAAATCTGAGAATTTGAAAGCGGCCTGAGTATATAAAGGTGGAGAAAATAAAAGAGAAATGGGGTTAGGGCAGGAATGAACACGGAACATCGAATGAAAACCAGCAACAATAAAAAAGGACTGAACGGAATAATTGGGCGAAGGGCAAAGGAACTAATGAACGCGGAAGTGGAATGGAAGGGAGAGAGAGAGAGAGAGAGAGCGGAATTTACACTCTGCGAGTGAAAAAAGGACTGAAGGCTAAAGGCTCCTGGCGGTGATGATGACGTAAGTGGAGATAGAAGAAAAGGGGGAGGGAGGGGAGAGAAAGGGGCCAGCCGCTCTAAGGTTAGTGAACTGCCACTAAACACAATCACTTACCATGAGCATGGAGTTGCTTCGATGGGAAGGATGGAGACGGGTTCACAATAAAGAACGATAAGTTCGTTACTTTTATTGCTAATAGGCAATTGTAGTTTAGAGGAGTCTATGTGACTGCACACTGAACTGTGATGCTCTGCCTCTTTTTTCCTCTCTTTTTATACACATGGTGACTGCATGTGGGAAGGCTCTTTCCTCTCATCCAATCAGATCACTTCATGCATGTGCACATTCACCCGAATCAACAGTAGCAGTAGCTGCAAAGTCAGCTTCAGGGTCATGTGGTGCCTGTGTATGTGGATCAAAATCTTTTTTCTCTCCTCTTTGCCCACGTGCTTATTTCTCCCCTTCTCCCTAAAGAGTATCAGGGAAAAGAACGAGAAAACTCTTTCCCCGGATTAGACTCCGAATTCCTCGTTTACCAGAATGCCATATAAGCTCTTTTTCCGTTGCACATGTAACTACCAAATGCAAACAGGATTAAAGATAATGTCCGGACATAATAGTCAGATACGGAATGTATCAAAAGACCTTTTTATTTAGCTTTTGTTTTTTGATTCAAGAACCTCTTTTTTCGAGTCAGGCGCGTTTGTAGCTCACGGGGTCCGCTTCATCATGTTTTCTAATATTAGAATGTGCAATCCCTTTCCTGCCACAATGAATATTCTTTCATTTTTGAACTTTGATAGAATCAAATGTATTATATCAAAAAGTATGGAGCGGATGATGTTTGAAACAGCAAATAAGTAAGCATTAGTCAGAGGTGTATTAGTATACATGTATACGAATTTAAAAAAGTTGTCAGCACGCGGCATGTCTTTCGGGAGAATGCATGTGATCATTCACCCGAATCACCAGTAGCAGCAGCTGCAAAATAAGCTTCTAGGTCATGTGGTGCCTGTGTATGTGGATCAAATTCTTTATCTTTACCTCAGGATCACATGGTCAAGAAAACTATTTGACAGGAGAGAATAGCCGTTTAAATCTGCCTGACAAATCTTTTCCACCCTTTTCTGAGTGTTTATAAGCGCACCAAAAAGATCATATCATCAGTACCTCCTGTCAGCCGCTTTTCCTGACACAGGCCATTCTTATACTGATAGAAATCAGAGTAAAGAGCATACTCTGTCACAATCTTTAACATGAAATACGTTTTCAAATTAGTGCCTTACAAAACTCGCAGCAGTCTGAAGGCGAATATTTTGCCGAATGTTAGACGATGCCGGGACATTTGGAAACTGACAGAGGAACTGATCGATTTGCAGTATGAGGCAGCACGACTGACAAGAATCGGTAAGTTTTACAAGCAATGATCGGCAGCGGGACCTCGATTTTGACTTCGGATTGAGCAGATGTCAGGTTACACTTTTTCGCCTTGTGCCAGATGTTTGACTTGTTCTTCAACTCGACAACCGGCTGGGCAGCCCGATTGTCGTAGTAGATGTTCAAAGTGTAAACCTTTTGTTTCTTTTGATCTAACATCATTTTCTTGTTTTCTTTTCTTTTTTCAAAAAAAGGGCTCAGAAATGGCAAAGAGTGGATGGATGTGATAGACGAAGAAATTTGGGACAATTTTTTCAAAAGCTGGCGTGTTTTGAAAAAGTTGAAGAGATCATTAAAGACAAACGAGATTTCAAAAGAAAATCTTTGCAAAGCGATTCGAAAAGGATGGATTTACGTCCCGTTCAGGATCAGTAAGGATGAAATTTTGGACATTCCTGACTCTATTGCATAAACATCATCAGCCGGTTCCATTAGAAGATGCTCCTTTCACCATTCAATCCGCGGAAAAGGACTCGCATCAAATACTTCCTCATGTTTTCCTCACTGGCACTCCTGTTCTATGTCCACAAGCAGAATGTCAGCCTCAGCAAATCCGGTGACAGTGAAATCAGTGCCGGAGATGAAGATCCCGAGCACCAGGCTGACCACATGGCACACATTTTCCTTTCATCCTCATCATCCGCACCTTTACATTCATCATCCTCATCGTTATCGTTATTAGGAGACAATGAAATTAGAGATGTGCAGCAGTTTAAAACAGGGGATCAGAGGATCCTGACTGAAAAGTTAAGAAGCAGGTTGTGACAGGAATTACAGCGAAAGCTGAACCAGCACTTCAGGCCTGTGATCGTTACGGCAGAACATAATCCGAATTATCGTTACAACAATAACAGCATTCCTGTGATCAGTGAAATCGGAGCAAACACAGTCAGATCGTCCGAAGTAAACATTTTAATTTGAGCCTAAAACCGTTTTCCCCATTGAGCTCCATGTAAAAAATAATTAAGTTGCAATTTTTTTAAACGCATCAGCTTTAAGGGCAGGATCCCGTAGTAACTGTGCTTGTATACTAACACATAGCGGCGCATGCACGTATAGGCGATGTGCGAGTGAGAGATCCGATTTCGTACTTTTAAACTAACGTCTCGAAAATTGCATAAATTCACTTTCTGAGGATAACTTTAGCATCGTTAGCTATCCATAATATCGGGCTGCTATCAATTTTACGTCAATAAACATCACATTTTGAATAAAACGAAAAATTCTTCGGACGTACACGTGAGACAGATATAAATTTTGACAGTCAAGATGGCCGCTCCTAGACACGTTGCGCCGTATTTTCGCTTTTACGCAAAATTTAGAGATTTACTCACCGAAAACGATAGCAGCCCGACATTACTGTAATGGTACGATGTCGGGTTGGTCCACATTTTGTCAATTTATCACTTCTGAAAGATGTTAGTTTAAAAATACGATTTTGCACACTGGCGCCTGTCAACGATGTTCCGCCATGCAATTATAGTTTCACGATTATCTACTTGGAGCGCTTGTAGTATTAGTCGCATGTTGTCGCGGTTTTGGCCACATTACCTACAACGTCGATGAAAATACGAAACTGTCGGTAACTGCGTACAATTTTCGGGACAAGGTATGACACTGCGCATTGCATTGAGCGCATCACGTAATTCAACTGTTCAGGGAAAATAGAAATCTCAATTTTCCACCTTTAACTTTTCCGTGCTTTATTAACAGAGATGGTCTTCGACCATTCGCTTCCGCAAACAGTGATGAACTGACTCGCACGAAAAAACATTCATCGCCACGCACGCTGACGCATTCTCGCCCGGAATCATTCCTCGAACTCGGACACCCAACGCGACACTCGATCCGATCATCTAAACATCCTCTCGCAAACGCTACGCAGCATTCAATCGGACTCAGGCAAACAACTCATTATCTCATTTCATACACACCGAAATTCTTACAGCTAGACTAAATATAAGTTTAAATCATATAGTGCATATGCCAAAGCAAAATCAAATCTTACAATAGACTGTGGTGCAAGAATAAAAATGTTTAATCTTCAACCAAACAAATGCGAGTTTTTAAGACGCGAGGTAGCTTATTTAGGACACAAAATTTCAGAAAATGGTGTACAGCCAAATCCCGAGAAGGTACGTGCCGTAAAAGAATTTCCCGTACCAAAAACTGAAAAGCAGCATTTTCGACACCTGCTCTTCTTCGCTTTCCATCGCGGCCAAAAAGTTGTGAAAATTTGTGAATAGTTGCTGCAACAGGCCGGAATATTTGCAATGTATACGAAGAAGGTGTCATAGGTGAGTCGGAAATGGTTTGCAAAATTCAAAAATGGCGATTTTAACGTCGAAAACTCGCCCCGCAGCGGAAGACCTTCTGAGTTCGACGACGAGCGTCTCCGAGCCCGTGTGAAGCAGGATGGTCCTCAAATTAGTCGTGAATTGGTCGAAAAAATGAACTGTGACCACAAAACTATTCTCAATCATCTCCATTCAATAGGATTTGTCGAAAAATTGGGAGCTTGGGTGCCTCACGAAGTGAACGCTACGAACTTATTGCCCAAAATTAGGTTGAATTTAGAATTTTTTCAGAATTTTTGTACGAAATTAAATAGGCAAAAAAAGGCCAAAAACCGGAATTTGGTTTTTTCCCTTTTACTACCCCCACGGATGAGATAGGGGATTGAAACTTGGTGTGAGATGTTTTTTTTTTAATATGCTACCGACTGACGAATTGGGTTTCTAATTCGACTCAAGGGCACATTTGACTACCTTATCCGGCTATACCCTTTAGGAGTATCAAAAAACATCCTCAACTTTACAAGCAAATGGATGAGAGACAGAACAGTAGAAGTTGTAGGTGATACACACTGTTTAGGTGTTAATAATAAGAGGCTGCTAAATAAAGGATTGCCACAAGGGGGAGTTCTCAGCCCTCTCCTGTACAATTTATACAGGGTGTTACCTATAACGCTACTCACTATTTTTCTCCCACATGCAGCCACCTTACAAAAAAATGTTTGGAACAATATTTGCAGGGTATGAAGTGCACAATAGATATTAGTAATGCAAATTTTGAAAACAATTTGTTTTCTTCGCAAAGTCAAGGTCACTTTGGGTTTTTTAAATAGGAACATACATTTTTTTTTATTCATAGCTTTAGAGGACATCGAGCTGAATTCAAAACATATATTACATGATATTTTTATTAACATATTACTCGATTTACAGAAGTGGAAATGTGAAGTGAAAGGCCGCAATGTTACACGATGGAAGGCGGCATACATTTTGGAGATGTAATTAAATAAAGTGTATTTTTCCTACATTCTAGTCGCGTGTTTACATTCAGTAATCTCTTTGGAACCAAATAATGGTTACACTACCAAAGTCAAAAGCTAAATACTTCACAATAATATGCCGCATCACAATAATATTTTTACTGGTCAAAAACTACTTGGCAGACAGTGCTGTGTGAGCAGGTGCATTGTCCTGGTGCAACAGCCATCTATCGCTTCACAACTGTGGCCTTTCTTTCCAAATTTTTTCATTAAATCGTTTTAGGATTTTAATGTAATAGTGTTGGTTAACAGTCTGACCACTGGGAAACCACTCAATCATTACAATTCCATTAATGTCGAATTTTGATTTTCACACGAGTGCTTTTTTGAGTTTTGGGGATCCTGGAGACTTCCACTCTATTGACTGGGGCTTATATTCTGGGTCATAGGTAAAAATCCATGTCTTATCACATGTTACGAAAGATTTCAACAAATTTTACAAATAACTTGATGTTTATTTGCTGTTTGATTTTTACATTAAACATTTTTCCAGCAGAATGCAGTTGCACGTGTTCACTAAATAACGCAATACTTCCAAATGGTATGACCGATTGAATTGAAATTGGTAACATGGCTGGGGAGCCATGTGGGATGATGCCACAAAAACAATTGCTGCTAATACCATCGTTTCTTCAAGCTACAAACCTAGTCTCGTTACTTTTATGTTACACCTCGTATATTCCAATAAGTAACATATGTAAATATTAATATAGCACGTATTTTGAGACAAATAAATGTAAAATTTCCAACAAATGCTAATAATACAGATAATAAATGGATATGTTGTATAACATACTTATAGTCAGTGTATATTATTTTGTAGAAAGTGGTTCTTTGATTTTATCGGTAATATGGCATTTTACCAAAGGAGTACTTGAAATAACAATAAAACTTTAAAATCATATTATGTTTTCCATCTTTTACATTATTAAAGTTATTATTTAAAAAAGTAATAAAATCACAAGATGAAAGGAGTTCGTTTCAAAAATACTTATAGTACAATACACTTCAGCAAAAGATGTAAAAAACTAGATATAAAATTTAATAAAAAGTGGTAAATGTATAAAAACATTTGAATGCATTTTAAAGAATTGTTTTTGTGATTTTGTTCACCAAAGGCATATAACTATATATGGACAAAATTAAATTTGCGTTACATTTCTATGCTATGAAAAGAATTCAACAGTTTATTCTTACCAACTAGCTTCATTACTGAGACATTATAAAAATGTCAATTAGCATAATAAAAATCATGTTTAATAATTTATGAATTTGTCATTGTCATTAGAATCATAAATGATCATTTCTTTAACAGTGCTGACAAATTTAAACAAAAATTTATTAACTCTATATGAGGAAAACACAAGAGTATTTGTGTTTAAATTCTAAATGATATAAAAATTTATATAATTAAATACTACAATTCAATTAAAAACACTCAAATCAAAACTATTACATAAAGGAAACATAATCATTATACTTGTAATGCTTTTTGATTTCATTTAACTTAGTTTACAGTTACATTGGTTGATCACTGCAGCATGACCATGAATTGAAATCTGATGAACATAATATACTTAAATATCAAAATCACTGATCTGTGACAGTTGGTGACAGTTCAGTAACTGAAAGTAATTTTTTTTTTTAATAATTCGTGAAAATGTAAATATACAAGCGCGCATAATACCCATGTACAATAAAAATGAAACAAAGGTTTCCTATTAACTATTATTCTTTCTAACAAAATGACACAATATCTTGTATACATAATAGTTATGTAGTTCAAAATACCTCAGAGATAAATTTCCGTGCAGAATACTTATTGTTTTGTCCACTGAAGATTATATTCATTTTTGTGTAACTTGATTCAGTTCAGAAAGTTTTCATCACCAGTACAGTCTCTTTTTATTGTTTATTTCTCACTTACCGACACATGTACATAATAAATAAAAATACTTGAATTTTAAACAGAAATAATAACGTTCAAAAATATTTTAAATTAGAGATCACTGAATATGCGTGATAACGTCAACATCATTCTATTGACGCTTGCGTATTTCTGTAGGTTTGCAGGGTGTTAAATCAGACTTTACATTTACGGAATAAACAAAAATTGATAGTTTGAAAAATATGATCTTCCATGTTGAGAATATGAAAAGTAGTACAAAAAATTAAATTCTATTTCATGTACGCTTATTTATTTATTTCACAGTTACATTCTATATAAATAGAAACCCCAGTAAGCAACGAGTTTTGGTTCTATTTGCGCACTTCTCTATTCAGTTCTATATACTGTGTATCCTGTGGTAATACACATGCGCTGTAATGACGATTGTATCGTTGAAAATACATATTCAGCACACAGAAAGTTTTATAATTTCTAGTTCTTGTTGATGACAGTAGTTTCACCTATTAGGGGGATCAAATATTTAAATTAAACATTTACGGATTTTTGAATTTTTAAATTCTAAAACTCTCAACATTTCAAACTGCTAAATTCTATTTTCAAATTTTCTGAGTATTTAAATTTCCAAATATTTAGAGTTTTTAATTTCCAAATTTCCAAATATTCCAAGCTTTAAATCTAAATACTTGAGGATTTTTAGACTTATAAATTTGAAGTTTACAAATTTGAAAATCAAACAATTAAAAATGAAAGCATTGATGGTTCTGTTCCTTCTTTAGGAAAGCAACTTACCTATTCATTTATTTTTCTCCACCCTGTATATGACCACAAAGGTAGAAACAGATTATAGAAAGGCATCACACTCATGGTTAGGATTTCTCCACTTGATGAACTACACGAATCGTTTTCTTTATAGTTAGTGCAATCTCTCGTGGAACTGAATATAATATGTATATATAAATGTGAAATTGCGAACTACACATGAATACGATTCATGAACACATGGTATTAGATGCAACGGGTAATGGCTACTGTAATAACGTTAGAGAAATTAGAAACACTGTTTTATTCAATATTAGTAGACATGTAGTTCATATTCTTAAAAAGACATTTTGTGATTTAATTACACCTACAAATTCATTTTAATTAACTAAGGTTAATAATAAATTCATTTGTTCCATGATTTCCCTACTGAAGAATACGTGAGTAAATAGATTTTAAACTTAATTTCTGTATTTATATAATAAGTTGAAATAATTAATATAGTTTAAAATAAACGTAAAAGATTCGTTATGTAGTAATTGCTATGCTACAAATATATTCGAAATTAATATAATTTACAGAGAAAGTATATTTACCACCTAAATGTCCAAGTTAATTATACAGCTTTCAAAATTACTTTTATTCTAGGTTAACAGAAAATGACAGTATTAGAAATAGAAGAAGATACAGATAAACGTTCAGTTCCTCCTAGGAAGAAATTTTGTTTATCCCTTTCAGGCCGTGAACGTATACTTTTTAGTAACACCTCTCAGGTTCCTCAAACTTCGAATAGAGAGAGCCTTGTGAATACAGATACTTTTACATATAGTATGTAAATTTTATTACTAAACAAGTTTCCATATCTCATCATTTAAATTAAAATTATAAAATCATTTCACGCTTGCAAATATTGTGATTAAATATCTATTAATTGTAAAGGTACAAGCAAAATGTTGAATGGCTATCGTAATCAACTGAGTAATCATCAAGACGGAAGTTATGATGTGTCGAATAGTGGTACAGAAGGATTAAGAATAGCTACATTGTGTAATTTAGGAAATACATGTTTCTTAAACAGTGTGATATATACTCTACGATTTGCACCATCCTTTTTACATAATTTACATCACTTAGCCACTGACTTGTCTAATTTAAATGATAAGCAACTTCAAGTTAAAGTAAGTTTCAAGATATGTAAATAAATGTTAAATCAGTATTATTTCATAATTCATAAATCTATATAATATATTCTTTATATTAGATAAAATCATCCTCTTTGGGTGGAACTGGTGCATCGCTTACATCCAGTAGCAGCCGCAGTTGGAGCAGTAAAGATTTATTAGCTTTAGCTGGACCAGCTGGAGATAACAATAAACACAGAATACAAATAGCAACTGAAAAATTACATGAATTGTTTATGGCATTACATGCATCCGAAGCAAAAGAAAACAGTGAACCGTATCAACCAGATGCATTTTTACAAGCTCTAAGGTATATATTATCATAAAAATTGGAATTGCATTTGTATGTATCATATTTTCTTTCCTTCCAGAGAAGTGAATCCTATATTTGAAGGAAATCAACAGCAGGATGCACATGAACTGTTGGTTTGTTTGCTCGATAATATCAGAGAAACATTTCATTTGTTAGTGAGACATAGAGAAAGTCAATTTGGACAAAGTAATGATGGATTATCAAATTTGTCTAGTGAACATTCAACAGATATACAATCTGAAGATAGTAATTCCAATAAAAGAAGCATTCGTAAATTTAGAAAAAAGAAAAAGATAACATCAAGAGGAAGTTCGTCTTGTCTCGTACAACCAAATTTAAATGGTGTATCAGTACCTTCTCGACCCTATGAAAATGTAAAATATTATATGAAGTACTGCATGAAATATGAAAACGGCCATTCTGAATTTACGGAAAGTAATGGAGATGTGGGCAGTCATAGACCTGAAAGTAAAACATGCTTTATTTCTGAAGATTTTGAAGGAGTTAGCCTTTTGCAAACCACATGCCTTGAATGTGAACATGTTACTGAGCGAAAAGAAACATTTTGCGATATATGTGTGCCTATTGATATTGACAGGTCAAGCGAAGATGGTAAATAAATATAACGATTATCGTTTTATATAAATTGTATCAATTTCACTTCGAATTCATTTATTTTTAGATGAAGAAGTGAGACCAATGGATAGTAGCGAAGTATATAGGCGAGCAGTAGTCACTAGTGAACTTCTGTGGGGCAGAGATAAATATTGGTGCGCCCGTTGCCTTCGGTATAATGAAGCTCGAAGGGCAGTTTGTTTTCCATCTTTACCACGGCTACTTATATTGCAGTTGAAAAGATTTTCTACCGCAGCAGGGTAAAAATTGTAACTTTTTATTTGCTTTCATAAAATTAAAAATTATAACATTTATATGTAAAAATATATGTTATATTAGGTCAATGGAAAAAATTAATAATCATATGCCAACACCGTTAACGTTACAATGTTTTTGTGAAGAATGTAACAACGATCAAACTCATGGAACTTCAGGCAGCAGATCAGAATCACGACACGTGTATAAGTTGTATTCTGTGATTATGCACCAGGGCGCAACAATGACAGCTGGTCATTACGTTGCTTACACCCGTTTACCTGATGAATCTGCATTTACAGAATATTTTCAATGTGACCGTGACTGTAAGCGACAAGCTTCTGGTCAGGGTAATAGTAGCAGCACAAATACAAATTCATCTTCATCGGATAAAACATCCGGTATACTAAAATACTTCAGGAGTAAACCAAGTGTTAGCGAATCTAAGGAACAATTAGTTAGGGTTGGTTGTCGCAGTATTGATTGTTGTGGTATTCGACGTCATAAACATCCCAGTACTTGGCTGGAATGTGACGACGAAGCAGTACATGCAATTCCATTACGGGAATTAGAGGATAAATTAGCGCCAAATCCACGAAATTCCGCCACTCCGTATCTTTTATTCTATGTGAGATCTATGACATAAAAGTGTTTTTTTCTTAACAAAAAAATGTTTGTCAAATAACAAAACTAAAAACGAACTGAGCTTACTTCCTTTTGCGAAAAACAAACGTTATCAAACACATTCCAAATCTCTGTTTACTCTGAATGTGCTATACCGAATTTAGATGAACGTGTATAATTTCCTAGAAAGTAAATCGTATTATTGAAATCATCTTAAATATTAGAGATTAGCAGTTGAATACTACGCAATAAGTTTTCCAATCTGAACACTGATGTTACTGTCAAATCTTGTTAATGCTACAGTGTCAATTTGTATCTAGGCGACTAACGTTAGTTGAAACGCGAAGTGTTATATTTTTAAGTTATCACTGTAAAAATAAAAATATGTATTCTTGATTTAATTTCCTTATTCTTTTTAGCTTTTAGGTAATTTTTTATGCAAGCGTGCAGAGGTTAACGAAATTTGTAATAATTAAACTTATATTGTAGGCGTTATTATACATTTTTATCACTTATACTATTACGAATTTTATTTAATTTTCGATTTATAAAACCGATCAAAAATTTATAATAATTTAACTCGACGATGTACGTACTCTTTATATTATTTTGGTAAGTAAAAATGATACATTCCTTTAAAAGTATTTTTGTATTTTTGTTTCTTAAGCGAAAGGAAGATAGTAACAACTTTTATAGAAGTATACACAACTAAATGGTCCAGTGCAAGGGGGAATTATGTCATAACAGTAGCAGCGTAAAATATTAAGTCTTTTGTAAAAAAATGGTTTTCTATGGAAATTTCATAATCAAGACTACTGGCTTTTATATATGTATATGAATTTAATATAAAGATAGTGTAATGGAAAAAATGTTTTATCCTTCAATTTTTTTCTACATGTGTAAGTTTTTATTAAAAAGATTACATTGTAAAACAATCTCTACGAAACGTTTCTTATTATAAAATATTTTACTTAGGTGCACTTCACTTGATTAAATATATGAGAAAAACGCAAAAATTTAAAAATGTGAGGAATTAAATTTTCTTAATTCCATAGAAAATTTTGGTTGCATATGGAAATTCCACAGCTGTATGGAATAAATTTTTAAATTAATAATTGAGTAATAATTTGGGCTAGAAAATTAAAAAATCTCAAATATGAACCATTTTTTTATTTTCTGAGATGTTGTTGCTTATTCTTTGCAAAGTCACGAATGAGGACAACGTCTAACAAAAATTCTGATATATCTCCTTCTTGCACAGCAGTTATAACAAATAAGGACAATCATTCACAGATCGTAGAGCAGACAGAAATTTTGTCATGTAATTATAGATCAATGATTAGACACCGAGAGGTGCCAGAATTAATTTAAATAACTCAACATTTTTTGGTGTAGCCCTCTTTTGCACCTGAATCTCTCAATTCATAATAGCAAGATATTTAAGAAGTTAAATTTTCTTAAACTTTTGTCTTGTTAAATGCAGTAGAAAATTATATGATAAATATTACAGATTTAAGGGGCACCATTACATAATGTCTGGTAACAAATCATTAGTAAAATATCCAAAATTAGATAAATTTTTCTCGTTTTTGAATGATATTTCGAAACTGTTTTTTTAAAATGTTTATTATGTTGAACTTATAGTCGTTCGTGGAAGGAATAAATTAATTTATCTGTTATTTATATGAATTTTAAATAATGTTTCTTCCCCACTTTTTGTCCTTTTTTAATTCAGGTACTCGGATACCAAGAAATAATTACATTTTCCTAATTATCATCGATTAATTTGTAGAGAAATTAATCAATAAAATAGAGAGGGAAAACTTGCAATTTGGTCGAATGGCTCTGAAAAAAATTGTGTTCTCAAAATTTTGTTGTTTTGTTGTTAATCTCGTTGTCAGGATTATTTTCGTCCCTGCTCTCTTAAGTTGAATTAAAAGTTGTAAAATTATAATTAAATATGCCTAGGCAATTAATCAATATTAAATATAATTTCTAACAAGTATTTGTAAATATATCCAACACATACTGTAAAAAATTAATAGAAAACTTCTGAAACGAAACGATTAATATCATTTCGATAACGAATGAGAGTGAAAAAATGTTATTATTGATTAATTATACAGGAAGTCCTGTTTGTGTTGAAATATTTGTAGCATGTTAGAATGTCAGTCTAATCATACGTGGATATATCCATATATTGATTGTTTCGATAGGGGTCAGTAGTGGATAGTCGTGTTTCACCTGCCAACTAGACATATCGTAGTTTCTTTTACTTTCCGGTCACGTTACGTTTCGGTTTTGTTTTTAAATAGGAAACTTAAATTCGAAAATGATACTACCTTTGTATCTCTAAAAAGGTAAGTTAACTGCAAATAAACATGTAAAATGATTACATAGAATTTTGTTCGCTCTGAAATCAAATTTGCGCGCTGCGGGTATGAAGAGTTCAAATAAAATTAAAACATTTCTCGCATATATGTTTGTGTTTTTTTACTATTAAAATTGTAATTGTTCTCATATATCATAAGTTACAAATAGAAAGTGACAGTGAAATTATTTTGTTGAAAATGATAAGAAATCGAACGTTATTCATTACGGCGTATTTTAAAATATAGTTAATAAGTAATATTAATTAATTACTGTTTAAATTATTGTTCTCACGATCATTCAAATTTGAATTTATTATCGTTTAAATTGCGAAAGCATTACAGCAACAAAATTTGCATAAAAAATCAAATGTTAATACTGATTCTTAATTTCTGTTACATGGGTATTTGAGATAATTCTTTTTATTTGCATAATAAATCCGAGTTATCCGCGTAGCTGTGCTTTTCTCGTTATCAACTGTAATATTATAATGGTGAGTGCAATTGTATAAAATTGTATTAAACGTCAGTGTTTTGATGTGAAACACATTGCGCACCCGGAAAACATTCACCTTGCAATTTTTCAAAAAACGCGAAACTACGGTAATAGTAAAATTAGTTAGCCAAAAAAACAAATGAAAGTAATGTAACTTTCTTGAAAACATAGGACGTGTTTGTCATTTATAATCCACATTTATCATTCTAACGAACTACCAGAATCGATACACGTACAGTATATCGTCGACAAGTAAATGTACTTGCATAATATGTAGTAATAGTATTAACATTTCTTATTTAGACATTTTATAATTTCAATCTGATACAAGTACTTTTTTTAGACAATGACTATTTATTACTGTGGAAGCTTAAATACCTAATTATTAATTTAACTTTTCTATAACTCGGTTGCTTGCCTATAGCATTAAACTTTAATATTGCCCAAGGTAATAATAGATAAATAAAATTCAATGTTTAAATTGTATAAATTTATATAATCATTACTATTAATGTAAATATTAATGAAATGTCTTGAAAAAAAATGATATAAATTTCTACAATTAGTATATCGTACGTTAATACATACTTGTACTTTACGTCTTTGTAAATACATGTATAATAGCAGTTATCGCATATTTTTATTTTAAATTATCACGTTATTATAAAAATAACTGTACTGTATTTTAAAATGCAAGTCGTTAAATAATCTATTGATTTATTCAGGTTAGGTTAGCTAAATGAAATTTCTTTAATGTTTACTCATGTGCATTGCACAAAATAACTTGGAATAAAGTATCACTATATCAAAAACACAAATAGTGGTGTAAACATTTCTCATGATCGTTATCTTATTATGAAATTTAAAAATCATTGGTTTATTCTTAAATAAAACAATATATTTTTTGTGCGTTAATTTTTACAATTTTCTGTATAAAAGAGCATTGTGTGCAATGTTATAAAAATTAACGATTCGTGAAGTGTTTTAAATTAAATACGAAAAAACACGATCATAATCTTTTACCATTGTATTGTTGTATCAAGTACAATGTTACAAAAATCAATAATTTATGAGATTTTCAAATTCTTGCATGAAATACATGTTCTTTAATGTAAACTGTAACATGAATTGTTTCTTTAAGATTGTATTCTAATATTTTTCATGAAGATTGTTGCAAAGAATCGATTAATATAAAAAGTATATGGTTCCATTTAATAAATTACGAATAACTCTGAAATCTCGTAATAAATGGTCATTAAAAAAAATCATTTTCATCATTATACACATGTACTCCTTCAAATAATGTGTACAACAATGAAAAAGACATACACAATTAGATTTAGTGTGTTTCATTTAGTGATCCACTGTGTGTATATTTGCGTATACATTTAAATGTTTAATCATATATTCATATATAATGTAAGTTCTATTAGGGGCAGTGGTAGTATTGTACCTCAAATTGTTCTTTCTATAATTTATAATATTTCTGCGACAATTATGTAGTATTGTTAAAAATATATTTTTCCCTGTATACCATGAAAAGAGTGATATAATTTTTTACATGTTATAAAGCAAAACGATAAAAAAATCTTATAAAATTGATATTTCTTACGTTTATTTTATTAAATACGGAAAGTTTCAAAAAATGTTTCAGACAAAAGATGTAGATCTCTGAAATACGCGCATTTTGTGTTCTGTGTATATTAATTTGTTGTATAGCTGGTAGCTATCAAGAAAATATAAATTAATGATATACCTTGCTGCGTTGCAAATTGAGGTTTCAGTATACTTCTTCATGCGTGTACTTCAGTAGAATTTAGACTTATACAGGGTGTTCAGAGATTTACTAGCCAGCGTTTTTCTCGTAAACGACTGGTGCGAGAAAAAAATGAAAGAGGAAAAAGTGACAGTGTTTTTTACAATCAACATAACGAAGTATATACATTTTTCGTGTTTATACTATTTTTTGAGAAGTAAAGGTAACCTTCAGTTTTTTTAATGGAATGATATATATTTGTTTATATCATATGAAAGGGCGTATCGAAACGAATTCAACGATGTACCATATCATGACCTTGAGACCCATTCAGAGTCAAAAACAAACGAAATATTTCAAATATTTCGTATTACTGTACTTACCAGTATTTCTTACTGATATGTTTACATTTCGTGTTTAATGTCGTTTCCATTATCATAACACCATTATCATGACCTAATCATAACATAAAACCACCAAAAGTGCTTTCTAGCTAATGGAAACCATATTGAACACGAAATGTAAACATATCAATAAGAAATACCGGTAACGGTTCTCGTACCAGTCGTTTACGAGAAAAACGCTGGCTAGTAAATTTCTGAACACTCTGTATATTCAGTGTAGCGAAGATTTAAAAGAACGTTTTTATTTGCGATTCATGATACGCTCTCCTTTACGTAGAAACATCGCTAATATTTTCTGAATGTTTTTAGTATGATTTATTACTTATTGCATATTTAATAAGGTGAGGATTTAAAAAGACGTTTTTATTTACAATTCATGATACACACTTCCTTGCGTAGGAGTCTAGCAAATTTTTTCTGTGTCAAATTTTAATATAATTTAGACTTATTATTTAATAAAGCAGAAATCAAATAAAAATATGTAAAAAGGTACATTAAGCCATAACAGTAACAATAATAGATTTATGTAAAAGACGTGTTTAACTCTTTTTGTAGAGTTTTTTAAGTACTTTATTTACTGTTTGAAACTGTTTGAAACTCCAAAATCAATATTTTTGGATATACAGTAAATATGACTGTTATTAATAAGTAATTTATTATTATATTAGTAAACATTTTATGAACTTTAGAAAGGGATGAAGAGTAGACAATGCTATGTCATACAAAAATCTTTCATGAAACTTCTTCTTTAAATAAAAACGAGCTGTACTTAAAATTTCAGTTCGACGGGATTACAGTTTTTGCGAACTGCATCCAATAATAATACAGTTACATTTCCAGCTCATATTGAAGTTTTCCTTGAAATGTGTAACGTGCAGCGATATGAAAGAGTATATGTACGCTTTTTCACACGGAAAACCTTTCTAAAAAATGGGTGTATTTACAAATATCGACTGAATTTCTAATATTAATTAATTCTATGGAATTTACATTTTTTAAAGTTTTATTACCGGTACACATACAGTGGTTGTAGAGCTCCATTATTTTCTTCCTTATTCCGATTACAATTTAAATTTGTTCAAAACGATGAAAGTACAACTTCGAAGATACCAAACGATTAAAGTATCATTTAAAAAAACAACTTTCGCAATGTTTTAAGAAACCATAATTCGTTTGTTTCCATTTTAGAAATATTGCTCTATTAAAAGGAGCATATGAATACATTTTTGGCTTACTGTATATTTTCTTGTTACTTTTTTTCCTAAAAAATTCCATTAATAAAATAATTGTAACAAAATATTTTTATGATGCGCATTTACATGTATTGACATGTTATTTATTTCGAAATAAATGCAAAAGGACTTACAAAATACTTATGGTGACATTTAGTAATGCAACTAATTGTAAGAAATAAATAATAATAAATGTAAAATTAGATTAAGGGAATTTGTCAAAAGGTAACACTTTACATCGTTTTCACAATTTCAAAAATGTCAGATTTAACTTATTTTATTACAATCGCTGGATTCATTTACAAAATAAAAGAGATATACATATAAACACAAGAGCACAATATATAATACAAGAACTGCTTGTATAATAATATTTACACACGCAACCTTTGTATAATTCATTCACTTAATGTTTATTTATATCAGTGTTTTTATAATCATAAAATTTTATTTCTTTAATTATCTTCAATTTAAGGGGGTGAAATGAGACCGGTTTTCAGATTTCGCACAATGACGGCTCCTGTGCACCTTATTAATGTTGTGCACATATACGGTTACTCACATTAATATTTGGATAGAGTACTAGTCATATGTTTGTTGTTTCGCATAAGAGCAACTAATTTAAATACTATATTACTTATTTTACACAAAAATGGACCGTTCATTGTAAATTCAAAATCAACTTCTTTTTGCTATAACATTTGGCGGAACAAATCACTTTAAGTAAATGTTGCCAAATTTTCATGCCTCATTAATACTTGCATAAAGATACACTTTCTACAAGCTAGCAAAACTTAAAAGTCTGGAATACAATTCAACTTCAGTATAAGATTGCATTTCGAAGTACACACAACTAAAATTTAACTTGCAACGAAAAGGGAAGAATACCAGTTTTGATAAGGAACAATTTACAATTTATCATGGAGAGAAAGGTAAAACTTGTTGATAAATAGCGAAGTTATTAGTAATGAAGAATATCAGAAATCGTGAAAATGTAAGGAAAAAGATCACATCGGATTTGAGAAAAAAAAGGAACAACCTCGAATTTTTAATGGAAAAAAAAGGAAATTGATAAGAAGAGTTAAAGAAATTCACACTGCAGTGTTATAAAATTAGCTTAAGAGTTTGATCATAAAAGTGAAAAGAAAATCATTGTTGCAGCTGTGCGTACAATAATGAGGAACAATGGGTTTCATGGTTGAATAGCAAGAAGAAAACCATTCAGTAATGACATAAGTCGGGAAAAAGGCTACCTGCCGTTAAAGAATTTGTTGAAAAGTCTCAAGGTTAATGCAAGGTTATTTTCCCTGACTAGAGTAAATATTGTATTCTTGATTTAAAAGACGGTGGAAGTTCTATGATTGTGGGGATGTAAATCCAGCGTGAGCGTTGGTAAATTGGTATTCATTTACGATATTTTTAGACCTTTGAGAATAAATTTTTTGAAAGGCGAAAATAAAATGGGAATGTAAAGTATGCTGAAATATTGTCAGGATATTGATCCAAAGCAAAGAGTTTGAACGGTACAAAAATATTTGTTACATAATTGTCCAAATATTTTACATCCATCTCCACAATTCTCGGACATAAATGTCATAGAGAATCTATAGGATGAATTAGACTAAAGAATTGGGAATATACCAATAAATTCAGAAATTAAATTACAAACAAGACTGGAAGCATTATGGCATTCTGTTTCTTCAGAATAATTGAAGAAAAGAATTATTTTCAATATGACCAATCGATTACATCAGGTTACTAAACAGAAAGAGGTTGCATCAAAATATTAAAATTGCAGGTTTTCCTACATTTTATATATAAATTCTTTATTTTTCATAAAATGTCCGAGCGTCAATGTGACATAAAAATGGGATAACTCATTGTTTGAAACGCATCATACATCGAAATGTTATAGCTGAAAAGAAATTGTTTATGTATTTTCAGTCTATAATAAATAATTCATGTTTTTGCAAATTAAACAATATAATTTATATATATTATTCTTTCTTGTATACTATAACAAATACAGAAATTCTACAGAATCCGAGTATTAATGTGAATAACTGTATACATTGGTACTATTGTTTTGTTGAAATATAAATCATTGATATATCATGTCTTATTTATTCACTGTTTATAGATGTTATCGAGAACACTAATTTATCAATATGAAGCATCAACAGATCACGATCGATTTTCTAAGCATGGTATTCACTGCCTGTTCGTATTTGGCTCTTGCTGGAGCTGTTTGGATATTCTTACGGCTAGTTCAGGCATGCTTTTGGCTACCACGACATTTGAAGCGTCAGAATCAGGTTCAGCAAATGTTACAAGATAAGGTCATTATTTTTTTCTTATTTTCTAATAAATTTTAATGTTTGAAAAAATATATCTTAATAGTAACAAAACAAAGTTCTATTTGTACGTAAAGTACAAAATCATTTACACTTACAGTTAGTATTCAATAAATAGTTTCATTTTTCATTTTGTTCTCTTTTGTAGTATTGTGTTTGTACGAAAATTACATAATTTTGCATCGTGTAGAGCTGAAATTTGTATTGAAATAAATGTACACATTATTCTTTAGTTTTTAATATCATTCAGTATTTAATATACTGTAATATTTCATTTTGGAAAATGAAATGGAAGGTTAAAATACTTTTTTTTTGTACCTCTTTTTGTCTCCTTTTTCTCTTTCTCGTAACTTAGTCTTCAATTATGTTTCCATGATTCTTCGTACTCTCCATAGCTTTTGCGTTTCCATTCATCCTCTCTACTCCTATAAGCCTCTTTCATTTAATTTTCCAACATAACCTCTCGGAAATACCTTGCGTCTGCTAACCATTCTTCAGATACTTTGGGATCTTATTTGACTTTTTATACTATTGTACTTATACCTTCATTTTCTTATCGTCTTTTTTTTCTTTACGTTTTGTCACTTCCTTTCTTTCCAAGACCTACAGTCCTTCGTGCTGTATTTCCGTTTCTTTTCAGATTATATCCTATGTACAGGGTGTAACAAAATGTTTTCTCATGGCTTCGTCAGCTGATTCTACAGCTTTTAATCGGTGAAGATCTGTAAAAAAAAGTTGCCGCAAAATTGACTAACGGAAAAGTTCAAGGTCAAATTTGTTGTTATTGCATCGTATAGTACTCACTCGATAAAACAAACGTCTTGAAGACACCATAGGTTGCAAATGAAGGCTGCACTTGAAAAACAATGTTGAAAATTTCACCATTATTTCAACGAATATTTCTTACGGTATCACATTATATATCTGTAGTAGAGTATACTTGGATGTAAAATTTGACTTTCAAATAGTTCTAACATGTTGTGATGCCTAGATATACTCACAGGAATGCCAATAATCACAGTTGTTTCTGATCTCTTGTGTAGTGGATGTCAAATAGTGAGTTATGGATACAAGAAGAAATAGAAGAAATTATTTCTATCGGTATAATGTTCGTCAAATGCTTCGTGCTATTGATTAAGCATTTGGGAATTATGCCTTAGCTCGCAAGACATATCGCAATTATTTAGTTAATAGCGGATAGGAAAATTCTCGAAATATTCCTGATAGACGTGATTTTCAAAGACTTGAGGAACGCTTTCAAGACTTGGAAGTCACTATCAATCGTGCATATGGAAGGGCAGCACGACCGCGCGTTTACTGGAGGAAAGAGGAGCGTATTAATTCACTTGCGTATGCTCATCCCATTATGGGTTTACGCAATATTACACGTCGGGTTGGTGTTTCTCATATGACTGTTCATCGTATTATTCGTGATGAAGGACTACGTCCATATCGTGTTCGGAAAGTGCAAGCACTTTAACGCCAAGATTACTCCATGAGACGCAAATTTTGACGTTGGATGTTGAGAAAATTAGGTCGCGATTCACAATTTCTTGAGAATGTATGCTTCACAGACGAAAGTAACTTTTCCAACACAAGTTACCAAAATTCGCAGAACACTAAAATCTGGGCACATAGAAACTCACACGCAATGATTCAAACATTTAATTAAGGCCGTTTCTCAATTAATGTGTGGGGAGTAATCATTGGGAACCATATTATCAGTCCAATTTTTTTCCATAACTTCTTAACCGGAACACGTTACCTTAATTTTCTTCACACGCGATTCATAATAACACAGGTGAGACAAGTTATACCACATCATAGACGTCATCAAAATTATTTTATGCATGATGGTGCCTCACCGCATTTTATTACATCAGTACGTGAATTTTTATCAGAAATGTTTGAAAGTAGGTGGATAGGTCGTAGCACCTCATTTGTGGCCGCCTCGCTCTCCCGATCTTACATCTATGGATTTTTTCTTTTGGGGAGCAGTAAAGAATCTTGTTTACCGGTTAGGCCAACAAATTACAAGTATGGAGCAATTGAAATTGCGAATAAAAAACGCTTTCCGTCGTGTTCGCAAAATGTACGCAACAATTTAAAAGAAAGATTGAGGACGTGCCTACGCAATAATGAGGGACTTATCGAAGCCGGTAATCAAGCACGATTGTTAAGGTGCATAAATGTCGATGGTTCTATATTCTATACCGTGGCAAAGAAGAAACCGCTCAAGACGCAAAGGACAACCCTAGAAATGGTTAACCTCGTTTTCCAAGTGCAGGATTCATTTGCGACCTATGGTGCCTTTAAGACTTTTGTTTTATTGAGTGAGTACTATACGACGCAATAAAAAAATTTGACCTTGAACTTTTTCGTCAAGGTCAATTTTGTGGCAACGGTTTTTTACAGATCTTCACCGATTAAAAGCTGTAGAATCAGCTGGTAAAGCAATGACAAAACATTTTATTACACCCTGTACTTGAAATATTTTTACCTTTTTAATTTCCGTTCCTTTTCACCTTAATACTTTTGTTGTTTATGCTTACCTATAACCGGTCTTTTCTAAATACTTTTCCAATTTCCTACTTGTGCTTAAGATTCTCTCTTCACTTTCTATCAATAACAGTACAATGTTCCATGTATTATGAATGAAGGTGCAAATTCAAAACTTTGCTATCCGTGGATTTTCATAAGATATTTTTGAATATATTTTACTAGTTTTTATTCTGAAATTTATAAATTTTTAAATTCTCAAACGACCAAATCGTCAAATTTATAAACACCCAAATTTTCAAGTCTTTGAATTTCTAAATTTATAATTTTCGAATTTTCAAACCTTGTAAATATACAAATTCCCACATTTTCAAGTTACTGAATTGCCAAATCAAGCAATTTCTAAAATTTTGAAATTTTCAGTTTTCAAGTCCTCAAACTTTCAAATACATAGATTTTTTAATTTCCAAATCCTGCACATATTTAAATCCTCAACTTCTTTCTAAACTTAGTAATTTAGCAATTAACATTATATGTGCAATAACTGTCAAGGCGAATACAATGATCTTTTGGGAAGAACATTCATGATCTGGGTTAAGTCAATTGTGATGGAAAATAATTTACTTTCAGGATGGTCGAACACTTTTTTGCCGTCTCTGGTTCTTGATATTAATTCATCTCTGTCTCGTGATCTCTTGTTATGACTTGTTAAATAGAAATACACATTAAATTACGTTTTACACTTTATTTGTGCTTACTACGATCAATCGATTATGAGAATCTCTGCTGAATGACGTGAATCTCAAGTTTCTGAAATGCGTTATTCAATAGCGAAAAAGGTAGATATGGTTTTTGCTTATGGGTAATGTCGTCAAATTTTAAGCAACGGAGTCCGTTCGTATGCTAAACGTATGTAGTCGGGTATTACTGTTAAATAAGTAAATCAACGGTGCTTGACCATTTCCTAAAAGTAAATTATTTTTTATCACAATTAGCTTAACCCAGACCATGAATGAACTTCCCAATAGATCAACGTCTTGAACTACTCTATCAGAATGTAAGTAAAAAAACATATCGTTCCATTAAAAAAAAAAAAAAAAAAAAAAAAAAAAAAAAAAACGATGATGACCTTCATATCTCCGAAGCGGCTTCACTTGGACAAAAATTACTATCGCTCTATAATAGATCTCTTTGTATTGTACAATTTTCGTTACACTAATCTTTCTCTGGACCTTATAGATTCGAAGATATTTAAGGTGTTAATAGTTGCTAATTGCCCCACTCTGTATATGTATATTAAATGTAAATAGCACAGTTAACACATTTTCAAATATATTTTTAACGATAATGTTTAAATAGGTTGACAGTTACGAAAAGTACGTATTGGACTGTGAAAGGAAGGAGATGATGGAACTGGAGATGCAAGGTAATGATGCTAATAAAGATCTCGCGCAAACAGAGCAATGGAAGGAACGGAGAGAATGCCTGGAAATGTTGAAGAAAGAATTAAATAACGTTCGTAACGGTATCGACGATCCGCCAGACTGGGACTACTTTCTAGAAGAAGAGGAAACAGAAAAGGAGGAATCGAGTATTGCAGAAAAGAAGGATCCGAAAATGACAGAAAAGGAGAATTCAAGTAATACAGAAAAAGAGGAGCTGAATATTACAGAAAAGGAGAAATCAAGTATCACAGAAATTCATGAAGATGACATCTGTCTTAGCAAGCGCGACCATGAAATTAACACGAATCAGAGTGTGACCAACCAAATAACCGGTTCAGAGAATAAAAAGGATAAATAATGCTACTCCGTACAATCGTTAATAATATTCATACTTATATTAAATTAAATATTAAATTAAAGACGTTTTAGTAATAAAAAGTAGAGAAAACGTCGTAGTCAAATAATTTAAGAAATGTGAAATATGTATATCCTAGTTAAAGTTGTTTGTGTACCTTTCAATGAAATTAATATATTAAACAAAAATTGCAGAAACTGCTAGCTGAGATATTACTATAATCAAGAAATACTGATTTTTATTGTCGATAATTTTATTCTTGGATGTGATTTACTCTTTCATGATTTTATTGGTAATTTTATAACGATTTAAGTGATCCTGATTATACGTAATCCTGATCGCGAATTATTAAATCAATAATTAATATTAACTATTTCATTACCTATTTATGTATTTAACTTTCATTAAGAACTATGTCGTGAAACTATATTTAAACACAATTTTTTATATACGTATAAAATAATTATTGCAGCTGGTTTATACGAAGATCTGTCTACTTCAAGACATACTTGAGTATATTTTCAGGTATCTATTATATTATTTGTATCTGCATAAATTTTATCAAGTGGTATATACCTGTTTTTACAATAATTAGTACATAAATAAACAATCTCAAAAATCTATTTATTTGTAGACTTCTATTACAACAAAGATAGAAAAGATATAATAAAATCATATTTTTTTACGTATAATAGCATAAAATACAGAAATATTTAATGTATAATTATTTTTACAAAAAAAATGTTAATAGTGTAAACGAAAAATGTTAGTAAGTTTTTCGAAATTCTTTCTCTAAACAACATTTATAGTCATGCAAACATAATATCTTATGATGATATAATATTTATTCCAATGCTGCAATTTATTTTGAACGTAAAATGCGCAGATCATCGTAGACCAAAAAGTAGAAAATTATGCATTATGCTTTTATATTATCTTGTAATTTAACTCAAACTATTTACAAAACTACTGCACAATATCTTTCATGTATGTATAATGATTTATCCATTTTTCTAAACGTATACATAGAATGCATATTTGTACTTATACTATCTGAATTAAAAATTTTAATAAAAATATAAAATATATTTACAAAAATACATATTTACTTCCATGTGTTCACAATTAATTTTTTGTACATATCCCGTCATGTTTGTAATATTTTTTATATCAGATTTTGATATAAATTCTCATATTCCTACATAAAGTGGGTTATAAGAATGACAACTAATGAAAATCATACATTGCATCTTCTTAATTTTTCTTGAAAATTAAACTGTGAATAAGTGATAGCCTTATATTACACATGATAACGTTTTAGCTGCGTCGTTTCTTATTTTTATGTAACAAAGGTGTTCGGGAAGAATCCCGAATCATCGAAACATCAACGCCGCGTTCTAGCTGTCTCGCTCCCGCGCGGGTACCCTCGTGATTGCTTCTCCTTTGTTTTGCAACTCGATACGTGGTGAGAGGCACGGAAGGCGAGACTACGTAAACCTTCGCGGTCTGTTACAATTATTTGTATACAGGGTGTCCCGTAACTAGTGTTACTCCCTGAAAGGGGTGGTAGAGGATGTCATTCTGAACAAGATTTTCCTTTGCAAAAATGGGGTTTGAAGCTTCGTTTCTGAATTATTAATGAAAAACATGGACCAATCACGATGCGAAGATTTCACGCGCTCAGACGCGAGAGCGACAGCTTCGAAAATGACGGTCGATCGTGATCGTGAACAAGCGTATCGATACCACGTCGGTGTAGCGTCGGTTTAATAGAAAGTTGTTAGATGAAAGTTATATTGAAAAACGAATGAAAAAATTGTTAGAAAATTCCCAGTGACCCACCCTAATAAAGCAGGGACGACGGGCACATGACCGTTCTACGATGACCACCACGGGGTCGAGGCCTGACGCCCACCACGGAGTAGAGGCCTGACGCTGTGACGTCCGGGCCATAAAACAACCCTGGGGCCTCAAGTTTCGCGGGGACTAGGAAACCTCGCGGAACGGGAAGAGGGCATTCGTCTACAGACCTTGGAAAGACATCCTTCTCTCGAGGACGCTATTTCGCCCACGGAATCGGCAAATATAAAATATATAGTATTTTTTTGAAACCGAACTCAGTTAGCGTTTCTGGGCTATTTCGCCCACGGAATCTGCTTATATAAAATATATAGTAGTTTTGAAACCGAACTCAGTTAGCGCTTCAATCATTTTCTACCTTGTCTTACAACATGTAAATTATTATTGAATTATCATTTATTAATGGATAAGAAATAACGAAATTAGTCCTTACTCACGCAATCATAATAAATCGAATTTATTCGATAGAATAAATCGAAGTTATTCGATACATTTATTCGTTATCGTAAAAAAATAACAGATAAAATATTGTTGTAATTTTGTAAACGCGCGCGGTTGAGAGGAGCGAATGAGGGAGAGAGAGAGAGAGAGAGAGAGAGAGAGAGAGAGAGAGAGAGAGAGAGAGAGAGAGAGAGAGAGAGAGAGAGAGAGAGAGAGAGAGAGAGAGAGAGAGAGAGAGAGAGAGAGAGAGAGAGAGAGAGAGAGAGAGAGAGAGAGAGAGAGAGAGAGAGAGAGAGAGAGAGAGAGAGAGAGAGAGAGAGAGAGAGAGAGAGAGAGAGAGAGAGAGAGAGAGAGAGAGAGAGAGAGAGAGAGAGAGAGAGAGAGAGAGAGAGAGAGAGAGAGAGAGAGAGAGAGAGAGAGAGCGCAAGAAACAAAAGGACGCGAAACGGCCGGAATCGAGAGAGTACGATTCATGTAGAGAGCGAGTGTACAGTGTAAAGCGTACAAGGAAAAATACAGCAGCGCATCATTGACATCGATTCCGAATCATTTTCCTTATTCTTTCCTTACCCTAATTTTCTCCTTTCCTCCCCAATTTTTCCTTTCCCCCTTTTCCTCCAATAATTACTACAGAAATCAGAAGTGGGATCTGAATGGAAAATTTTTCTCGTTAGATATTGTGATGATGAAAAAGAACAAATTTTCATTTTTGAAAAATTAAGTGACTTTTCCATTCAACAAATAAAAATTTGAATTTGAATAATTAACAAATTTAAATGTAACTCATCCATTAAACCGTAAATAATCACGATGAAAAAGCATCTCTGTCACCGGGTCGATCCACCGATCCTTACTGATAGTATAAATAAATCACCATACAGAAACTCTCAAGAAACGCTCAAGAAACTTCACTGTCATCTTTCATTATTAGTTTTCATTATCACTTTTCTCTGTCACTTTTTACTAATTTTCACTTGTGTGAATGTGAGTTCGACACGTAAATAGGACAAATGAAAACACGTGTGTTAGAAATTTAGAGTTTAGGTAGATGCATTGGACGAGAGTAAGCCATGTGCGCTTCGTCAGAGAGCTGTCCCGGTCGCAAGGGAAAGTTTATGAGGCTAGTATACAATGTATAGTTTTTAAGGGCCATGGTGACGTTGGTGGGAGAGTTGTCCCGGTCGCAAGGGAAAGTTTATGAGGCTAGTATACAATGTATAGTTTTTAAGGGCCATGGTGACGTTGGTGTCCTCACGGCCAAGGTTTTGCCGAGGAGGCATTCTCTTGTGCAGTCTGTGATCGTGGCAATACATCACAGGAATAAACGAGACACCCAATAGTTAAATTGCATTTAATTCGTTATCTTTTCCTATCCCGCTCGTTCTTTCCTGATTTTTCTTACACGTGAACGAATATTCATAAATAATTTAAACTATCTTGATAGCAAGAAAACACAATTTTCGGTTAAAAACAACGATACATACATTTTATTTGGACACGTTTCTTTCGACAATAAACGATGACTGTCAATCGACGCCGCAGTCGTTCAACAGATCATCGTTGCATGGCAAACGTTCGCGACGTATGCTTCGCGATCGAGAACGAAACCGCGATCCGTAGCCAGTCTAACAATGTCTTCTAATAAAATATGTAATATAATTTCGATTCCTCAATTCGGATACTTTATAATGAGAATATAGCGTATCGTTAAACATACATAATCTATGAATAATCGTTCACGCGTTTTCATTTGGTCCGTTTACCGGTCGTGCTTATGTTGTGCAATTATTAGAAAGAGACAGTGAAATAAATTGAAAGTTCATTGACCCTGCCAGGACTGTAAGATGTAAAAGGATGGAATAAAAGCGAAGGTGAGGTTTTCGTTAATGAATAGTGGGCGTTTTATAAGAAATACTGGATGTTTTACTGGAATCGTTTCACGGCAAATGCCAATACAAGAATGTCTCTCTAGACACGATCCCGTCTTGAGGACACCCCCATCAGCATGGTTGTTTATGGCACTTAGGCCCAGCAAAGTTTCCCTGTGGAAGGGGAATGCACTGACAATAAAATAATTTTTAGAAAAAAAATACACCGACTTCGAAATGCACTAAAAAGTATAAAATAATTTCTATTTCCTAATGAAGTAATTTCTATTTCATTCAATCATACAATTACGTAACAGATATGAATGAAACCTATTTACTCGTTAGGTAGTATATTAAATACATTTCAACCTTTTTGGAGGCGGCGCAAAATTAAAAGATTATTTTGAATATGTTATTTAATTTTGCGCCGCCTCCGAAAAGGTTGAAATGTAT